CATAATTATTTATTTATTTTTTGTTAAAATTTTTATTTATTTATGTATACATACATATATAAGTGTCTGAGAAGAATTTATTATTGCTTGTTCTCTAGGACGTAATGTGTTTTGGATTTAAAAGGGGATTAATGATGATGTTATGGATGTGCGATGATCCAAACCCACCTTCTTCTTCTTCTTCTTCTTCTTCGGAATATGCTCCGAAAAAAAAAAAAAAAAAAAAAAATTTTTTCCGAAGGAATGAAGAAGCAAAACAAAAAACACAAAAACACAAACAATAACGATAACAAAAAGGAAAGGAAAGGATAGGAAAGGATACCTCGTCGTATATACAATAATACTCACCAGCTGCTTTTTTTTTAAAAGTAAAAGTACAAAAATAATTGAACGTTTTCCCCTCCCCCCTCCTTCGAAGAGTTTTTGGAATTGAAAAGGTTCAAAGGAAGGATTTATTTGTTCGGGGGGAGATGATGATGATGACGATGACGATGATAAAAAAGAATCAAAAAATTTGTGGAAGAGGATCAACGAGGACGACGCACATTCTCCAATACGTTTGCGAACATGGGATTATTATTATTATTATTATTATTATTATTATTATTATTATTAACACATTTAGATTTTAAACGCGAGCATATACATACACTTACTATTATTATTTTTTTATGTATTTATGTATGTATGTATGTATGTAATTAAGATTGGGGGGAGAAAAAAAAAAAAAAAATTTTATAAAAATGTACAAATTGAATTTTTTTTTTCTCTCTCTCTCTCGCATTAACGACGGCACATTGCTTAGATAATATTATTATTATTATTATTAATAAATTGTTGTAGGTATTCATTACGAAAATAATTTGTTATATTAGCAGTAATAATAATAATAATAATGGTAACGATCGCGATAGTTGTTAATCGTTTATTTTTTTTTTTATGAAACACTTTCAATCGCGACAAATTTTATATGTAAATGATTTCAAACAGTCTAATTCTAGGGTTCATATCCGGTTCCCTAAGGATAAGAGTGCTAGGGAGTATCGATGGTACTGCCTCTCTCTCTCTCTCTCTCTCTCTCTCTCTCTCCGTCTCTCTCTATTTATGAAATTTTTCGCACAACGTACGTTAAATCCTTACGAAATATTCTTTGGATTGAATTTTACATTTCGATTCGTTATTTTTTATATTGTTATTATTATTATTATTAATATTATTAATATTATTATTATTATTACTACTGCTATTATTCAGTATCGAACGCGTGTACATTACATGTATATATACAGATAGATATATATATATATAAAATTTTTTTATAATTAATTAATTAATTAATGAATTTTTGCGCATGAGTAAGTAATTTTTCAAAAAATTCAAATCTGTTGAAATTATTATCATTATCATTATCATTATCGAATCGTTTGGGGGGAAACAAAAAAAATCGCGTGTGCGAATCGAATCGAATGATAGATTCGAGAATAAATGGTGAGAGAAAAAAAAAAAGAAAAAAAAATTATTGTCGTTAATTTTTTTAAAATTATTTTATTTTTTACTTGATTCGATTATAATAATAATAATAATAGTGATTATGATGTTGATGATAATGATGATGATGATGATGATGATGATAATAGTGTTGTTAAAAGTCTTTATTAATAATAATAATAAGAAGAAGGAATTTTACGTACACATACATATACATTAAATAATTTTTTTTTTTTTTTTTTGTTTGTTACCATTGTGACACGACAGGTGCTTATTAACCGTTGTGGTGGCAGCTTTTTTTTTTATATTTATTTATATATTTATTTACGAATGAATAAGTTGAAAAAAAGCAGAAGAAAAAAAAAACGAGGGGGAAGGGAAGGGAAGGGAGGGAGGGAGTCAGTGAGTGGAGTTTTTCGTAAAAAAAAAAAGTAGTAATAACTTTGTGAAAAAAAAAAAAAATTTATTTAAAAAATAATTAATTAATTAGTTTTTATTGTTTTTCACTATAATAAAATTATTATTATTATTATTAATATTAATATTATTATTAAATTAATTTTGTAACTCGATAAAGATAAATCTGTGATTGATGCTATTTTTTTTTTTATTCGTGAAAACAAAAAAAAAAAAAAAAAGAAAATGTAACAGACGATGTTGGAAAAACACAAAAGAAAAAAGAAAAAAGATGAAAAATGGGAAGGGAAAGAAGAGAGAAAGACAAGGAAAAAGCACAAAAAACGGAAACGAAAAGATTAAATTTTCATTTGCTTTTTTCGCTTAAGGAACAACAAATAACAAAACAACATTTATTTATTTATTTGGCTTATTATTTATTTATTTATTTATTAATCTCTTCTTTCTCTTCGTTTTCTTCTGCTTTTTTTTCCCCCTCAATTCGTCGTTTGTATAATAATAATAATAATTTACGTCGCACGACGACGGATGAAAGGAGGAAAAAAAAAAGAAGAAAAAAAATCCACTTGTGTAAATATTTTGTAATGCGTGTGCGTGTGCATGCGTGAGTCTCGTGCTTTTTCTTTCCTTTTCTTTTTCTCGACAAACGCACGAATGGCGGACAAATAAAAGAAGAAAAAAGAAAAAGAAGGAGAAAGAGAAAGAAAAGGAAACGAATGAAATTTTTCACTTGAATAATGATAATATTTTACACATTTTTAAAATAATGTTTTATTTATTTTGTACCGATCAAAATCGAATAAATCGTAGTCATTTACGTGGGGGCGGGGGGCGGGGGGGGTACAAAAAAACAAACAAAAAATGTAAATTAAAATTGTAGTCCATTGGTTTTGTTTTTGTTTTTTTTTTTTTTTAAATTGTCAATTGATGGATCAATAATTATAAAATCAATAAAATATTTTTTATTACTACCACTATTACTATTATTATTATTATTTTTCTTTTATTTATGTATTTATTAATACATAAATCTGTATTGTTTTTCTTTACTTATTAATAAGAATTATTTTGTTTTTTTGAAGTTCCTTTTCATTCATCATCGTTTTTAATATTATTATTAATATTATTATGAGTATCACGAGTACCGGTCAATATTTTATGAAACATGCTTAATAAATATTTTATTAATATTTAAAATAAAATAAATAAATATGGCGTCGTTTTTTTGATGTTTTTATTATTTTTTTTTATCGATTAGTATCGATCGTGAAGAAAGCCGACGCTCGTTGATTGATTTTTACACACATATATTTATGTACATAATTAATTAATTATTTGATTAATTTTACGTTAATGATAACGTATAACAACCGAGGAAAAGGGAAGTGGATGAAACGAACACGTGCGGAAACACTTGCAAAAAACGAACACACGTGTGAATGAATCTCGATAAGTTTTTTTTTTTTTTTCACATTGTTTGGCAATTTGTATAAGTCCCTCCCTTTCCTCCTCCTCCCCTCCTTAAAATTCTCATCAGTGGTACCGAAGGTTGTGCTTTTAAAAAAATGGGAAAAAGGGGAGGGGGAGGTTAAAGCTTGTGCTTCACGATGTCGGATTATGGTGTTGGATTTACGCATTTATTAGATTTAAAAAGAAAAATTATTATTATTAGTATTATTATTATTATTATTATTATTATTATTATTATTATTAATATTAGAATTAAATTATTATTAGTATTATTATTAATAATGATATTTAATGAATTTACGTTTTAAGAAAATTCATTAAGAGTAGAAAAACAAAAAAATTTTCTTCTCTCGATGTTTTCTTATTACGTTTGTTTTGTTTTTTTTTTTTTTTTTTTTTGTTTGTCGTTTTGTTTGTTTGTTTGTTTTGTTTTGTTTTGTTTTAATTTTTAATTTGTATTTGTTTTATTTTAACCTCCCGTCACTTTAATGGTATCGATTTCTTTTTTATTTCAGCCCCATGGACCCGGTTCCTAAAAGCTTAGTTAGGTACGTTCCTACTTTTTTTTTTTTTTTTTTTTTTTGTTTTGAATTATTATTCTTATTATTATTACTATCATCATTATTATCATTATCATCACCATCATCATAATTATCATTTAAAAAAAAAAAAAAGAAAACCTCGTCAGTGGTTGTTAACCTTTCTCATATTATTTCCTCTTTTGCATGCACTACTTTTCGTAGTGAGGGTTTATTTGGTTGTTGTTTGTCTCTCTCTCTCTCTCTCTCTCTCTCTCTCTCTCTCTCTTTCTCTATTTCTATCTTTCTCTCTTTAAATTTTATTTTGTCGACTCGTGTCAGAGTCATATATAGTAAGTTTGTAGTACGCGGTTTGTTCTTTTCGTTTTCACACCTGTCGGTTTGTATTTTCCGTTTGTCGTGTCACGTGATAAACGATACCGGGTGTGTTGATGAAAGGATCGAACGTGTCGTGTAAGTATTATTATTATTAAAGGGTAAAAGTCTCTCTTTTATTTGTTTTTACATTTAAATTAATTTTTTTTAAAAAATATTTTCCACTTATTTATTTTTAATATTTTCTTTTAAAATTTTCTCATCCGTCCGTTCGTACTGTTTTTCCTCGCCGTCTTGTTTGTTTTTTTTTTTTTTTTAATTTTCCTCGTGTTTGTTTTCGTTACAGCGGAACAGGGACAAACGACGATCAAGTGAAACCGAGATCCCTTCGATTCACGTGGAGCATGAAAACGACATCGTCGAGAGATCCAAATGAAATAATGGCAGAAATAAGAAAGGTAAGGAGAAGCGGGGGGGGGAAGGGTAGGGGATTCCCAGTTTTTTAAAAGGAATTACGTAACTACTACGGTTTTCTCTCTCTCTCTCTCTCAGGTTTTGGATGCCAACAATTGCGAATACGAACAAAGAGAGAGATACCTTCTTTTGTGCATCCACGGAGATCCGGACACGGACGATCTCGTTCAGTGGGAAATTGAAGTTTGCAAACTTCCACGTCTTTCTCTCAACGGAGTTCGGATCAAGAGAATTTCCGGTACGTCGATAGGATTCAAGCACATTGCATCAAAGATAGCGAACGAACTGAAACTGTGACTACCCGTTTTGGAGGGCGGGTGCAGTTGCCGTAAAGAGGAAGGCCCTCCTCCGCAGAGAGGCTGACGCAAGTGGCCAAAAATAATTTTTTTCCGGGATAAGAAGAAGAAGGGAAGACGACGACACGATGCGGCGACGGGAGCGGGAGCGGGAGCGACAGCGGCGGTGGCGGTGGCGGCGTCAGCGGCTGCGACGGCAGCGACGGCGGTCTCATCTGCTCTTATAACTCGAACTTGAAGTTTTTTTTTTTTTTTCTTTCTTTCTTTCTTTCTTCGTTTACTTTTTTTTTTTTTTTTTTTAAAACAAAAACACAAAAACTTGCAAAACAAACACACACTTTAATTTTAAAATCAATCGGATGAAAGGAGAGAAAAAAAAAATTTACATGAATTTCAGTTCAACAGCAACAACAGCAAAAACAAGAAAAAAAAAAAACAAAAAAAAGGAAAAAAAGGAAAAAAAAAATAAACATCAATCATCGTCATCATCATCATCATCATCATCATCACTTAAATCATCGTCGTCGTCATCATCACCACCATCATCATGATTATTATTATTATTATTATTACTTTTTTATTATTATTATTTTTACTTTTACTTTTACTTTTATTATTATTATTATTATTATTTTTATTCAAGACAATAAAATAATCATGTAGCATAAAAAAAAAGAAAAAAATATTGATTCCAATATTTAAAAAACGAGTTTATCGGCATCGCATCAATAAAGCAAAAAAAAAAAAAAAAAAAAATCCAATATGGCTGGATTACTTATTTACCTGGCAGGCCAGGATCTTTTTACTTTAAGAAAAAAAAAAAAAAAAAAGAAAAACATAGTACATAAGTATTTGTTTTCCTCCGCCCTCCGCCCCAACCCCCCACCCCCTCACGTCGTTATTTTCTTTTATTTCCTTTTCCTTTTTCATTTTCAATTTTTATCATTATTAGTATCATTATTATTGTTATTATTATTATTATTATTATTATTTGAAACTTTTAAATAGTCACAATGAGAAAAAAAATATAAAAATTAAAAATTAAAAAAAAATAAGAGAGAAAGATAGAGAGAGAGAGAGAGAGAGAAAAAAAAAAGAAAACAAATTTTTTTTAGCTAACTAATTATAATAATAATAATAATAATAGTAATAATAATAATAATAATAATAATAATAATTTAAAAAGTATTTTAAATTAATTAATTAATTATTGATTAATTTTTTTTTTAAATAGAAAATGAAATATGCCAATTATAAAATCACAATCGCAATAAGCAAATTCCTCCTCCTCCCCCCCACCATTTTTTTTTTACTTTTCTATCTTTTCCTCTCACATACACCCCTCCTCCTCCTCCCTACCTCCCCTTTCTCCTCCCCTTTCTCCTCCCCTTTCTCCTCCCCTTCTTCCTCCTCTTTACAAAATCAGTGTTAAAAAAGGGGGAGGGAGGAGGGAGGATGAAAAATCAAAATAACCGTAAGGCAGTAGTAGTATAGTCATAAATGGCTCGTGTGTGATTGATTGATTGATTGATTTTACTACAACTTTTTTTTATTATTTTTTAATGTTAAATCAAATGCAATATATTTATATATAATAAAACGTAACGGTAATAATAATAATAATAATAACAACAACGGTGACGGTAACGGCAAAAAACAATTACAACAGCAACAACAACAATAGAAAAAAAAATATGTGTGTGTACAATATTGTATGTAGTAGTATTAAAGTTAAAAAAAAAAAAAAACAAACAAAAATTGGTGTTGGTGAATAAGGAACAAACAAACAAACAAACAAACAAACAAACGGTGTGCCTCTCGTGTGTGACGTGCGTATAAATGATCGACAAAAAAAAATAAGAAAAAAAAAAAAAAAAATAGAAAAAAAAAGCTTTTCATACCTTTCCGGCCGGCTTGTTTCTGTTGTCATCACGTCTCGTAATTTCGATTATTATCGATTATTATCGATTATTATCGATTGTAAAAAAAAAAAAAAAAAAAAAAATCGAACTCGAAAAATCGAACTGAAAAATCTTTTTTTTTTTTTTTTCTTTTTCTTTTTTGTGTATTATAAATGAATGATTGATATAATTTTAAAAAATCAAAACAAAATTTATTATTATTATTATTATTAATTATTATCATTATTAATTATTATTATTATTATTATTATTATTATTATTAATGATAAAATTAAAAAAGGGGGGGGGGCATGTGTATGATTTTGAATATCGATAATAGTAGGAATAAATAAATAAAATAAATAAATTAAAATAAAAAAAATAAAACTTTGTATATTAAAATAAATAAATATATGTATATATGCGTGTGGGTGTGCGTGTGCGTGTGATTGCGTTGAGAGTGTAGGAAAAGAAATTTCGATACTGATGATACTGATGATGATGATGGTGGTGGTGGTGGTGGTGTTGGTGGGTGGTGATGTTCCCACGAAGATGAAAGTAATAGGGGTGGAAGAGAAAGAGAGAGAGGGAGGGAGGGAGGAAAGAGGGTGAAAGAGAGAGATAGAGAGAGAAAAAAAATTTTTTTTTTTTTTTTTATTGCAAATTATTTATTATTGTGCACACCACCTTATCCGTTCGCTATCAGTCAATCGTCAATTATTATTATTATTATTATTATTATTATTATTATTATTATTATTATTATTATAACTATCATCATCATTTCTTTTTTTTTTAATTTATTAATTTTTAATTATTATTATTATTATTATTATTATTAATTTGCAACAAAAAAAAAATTTTAACAAAATAATTTTTGGGTCTAGTTTATAACAAATCAAAAGAAAGAAAGGAAATTAAATTGAAATTAAATTGAAATTTTTTTTTAAATGATAAAATCCTTTGTTAAATTTTTTTTTTTTTCTCTTTTGTGTGATTTAATACGAAAATAATTAATAAACGATTATTATTATTATTATTATTATTATTATTATTATTATTATTATTATTATTATTATTATTGTTTTATTATTTGTTTATGGAATTTTGAATTGGATTTTTTTTAATTTGCAATTCCTCCTGAGTTATTTGTGTTTGTCGCCGTCGTCATCGTCATTGTTAGTAAAATAACAAGGGAACGATTAATTAATAAATTAATTAATGGATCGATCAATCGATCGATAGATCGATTGATCGATTGTAGTTTTCCTCATGATATGATAAAAAGAAAAGAAATGAAAAAAGTAAATGAAGTTAAAATGTTTTCCGGGTTTTTTTTCCCCCGTTCGTTCGTTTATTATAACTATTATTATTATTAATAATTTTTTTTTTTTTTTGAAATGATTAATTAATAATGAAATGTAAATTAAAAATGGTTGACGAGATGTATGATGAAAATAATAATAATAAATAATTGTTTTGAAATTATTATTATTTTTTTAAATTTAATGTTATTATTATTATTATTATTAATATTTTCTTGGGCTCTTATTAAAGGTAAGTAGATTTAATATTTTACGTTTATTTAATTTTTTTTATTATAATTTATAGAATCAAAACGATTTATTTAATAATAATAAAAGAAATATGGGAAAAGAAATCTACTTTGCGACATTCGATTCGTTCGATTTATTTAAATTTAAAACGATCGTTATTCGATGAAAAAAAGTTAAAAATTTATTCTGGTGACACGACAAAAACCCGTAAAACGACAACACCGCACGAAATGCTCGATTTCAATTGGTCGCTTTCATTCGATGTTTTAGTTTCATTTAAACGTGTGTGCATTACGGATGGGGAATATCATAATGGATGCCGATGACGCTATCAGGGGTATTGTGGAACGTGTTGTAAACGTTTTTTTTTTTTACCTCTGATCAGTTCGTTTTTTATCAATCATATATATATATATTAGTTTTTATTAATATTAATATTATAATATGTTGTTATTAATATTATCATTAGTAGTATTATTATTAGTATTTAATAATATTTTTTTTTTGAATTGAAGTTTTAATTTCACGGGGTTTCGTTGTCTCTCTTTCTTTTCTCGCGTACTCGGATATATTTCGTTTCGCGAAAAATAAAAAAGTAAAAAAAAAAAAAAAAGTAAAAAACATTTCGAAAAAATTGACCATTGCGCAAAGTTATTTTAAGTTGAATCCGCGTCAGTCGCGCAAGCGTTTTTACAAAAAATTTTTTGTTAGCTGGTGTTAATATATATTATTGACTTTTTAAAAAACGTTGGAGTTTCGTTCGAGTCCCGTTTTTTTTTTTTTTTTTTTTTTTTTTTTATTATTCTTTTTCTTTTTTCTTTTTCTTTTTTTTTTTTTTTTTTCGTTTTTTATTCCCAATATTTATTTTTCAGTTTCAAAATGGCGTTTAACGGGAGTGCACATATGAACAAACGTCCGCGAGTAGATATGCGAATTGATATGGATAATGTTCAAAAGGTGCGAATGAATGAATAAATATCAAGTTTAACGACGTTTTTTTTTTTTTTTTTTTTTCTTTTTGTTACATATAAGCAAATTTCATTTATTTATTATTATTATTATTATTTGTGTTTGTTTTCATCGACGAAATTTTTTTTTTTTTTTTATCGCGTTTTTATTTTATTTTATTTTTGTTTCTCCCCAATATTCCTTCCTTTTTAACCCCCCCCCTCCCCTTGGAAATTTTAAGAAAATTATTATTCTACCTTTCATCATCATCTTCACAAAAATTATCATTATTATTGTTCAAAATTGTTTACATAATGAATAATTAATGGTTATAATTTAATTTTCACATTCACACAAAAAATTCGACCGTTATTTTTCAAAATTCGTATTCGTTCTTTTTCCGTTAAAATTCTTCCTTCATTAGAATATATTTTTTCTTATTCTTTTTTTTCTCTCTCTCTCTCTCTCTCTCTCGTGAAATTGAAATTCGTGATTAATTGATTTTATTTTAATGAATTAGTTACATTAAATTCAAATGTAAAAGTTTTTTTTTTTTTTTTTTTTTTTTGTGATTTGGTTAGGGTTTTTGCAAATGG